CTTTAGTTTTTTGCTAGAAATTTTGTAACAGATTGAAAAAGTTGTCAGTTTGTTTCATTTATGCTGAACAAGCATAGTTACCTCAGTGAAGTAGTCTAGGTTTTGTAGGTACTTAAGTATGTTTGTAGCAAAACCAGCAGCCCAAATAGAATCGTCCTGAATAGTAATGTAATCGTCTAGAACCAATAAGAAATAGCCAAATAACAGTATTAGAAAAAGCAGTAGGTAATACGCAGGTAATATCCTCTTAACACGTTTTTTATAGAAGATCAGGAAACTCGTTAAAGTAAATGCTTTTTCTTTCAGCAAGGTCATTGCCATGAGATAACCAGAAATGACAAAAAATATATCGACGCCGAGAAAGCCATAAGGAAATAATTCTGGATATAGATGAAAAGCGAGAACATAAATTATGGCTATTCCTCTAAGCCCCTGAATATCTCTGCGCTTGTGAGTCCCCACTTTTTCATCAGAATCATCTTAAAAAATAGAAAGTTTTTTTTTTGAATAGATGCGTAATCGACATAGTGAGAAGCCTAGTTTGCTAATTTTTTTTTATTTTTTGGAAAACCGTATTTTCTGACACACTGTTGCTTGTGACGCCTAGTATAATGTTCTTTAACCCTGCCATACTGCGAAAAAAAGTTGATGACGACTTCTGACAGCTGCATTATTTTTGATATTTTCTTGACATGTCGCAGCGAAATAACGAAAGAAATTTTATGATACCATTTTTCAGCAGATTTTTTAGCATTCTTGCAAATTTAAGAGAAGTGCCTCAATATATTTTGCTTTTTGTACTCCTCACGATCTAACGAATACTAACGAAATTGATGTCTAAACATTCAAACTGCATTTTTGTCACTGTTTAAAATACGTTTCTACCAATTCTTCTTCTGAGGATTAGACAAAGCACATATAACAATTTTTTCTTTGTTTATCTTTTTGCTGACTAGCTGCAAACCATCAGCGTTCTCTTCCTCATTCCATCATCAGCTAAAAAATAATTTCTTTGATAAAAGTTACCGGCTATTTTCTGTTTCGTTTCTAATTCGCCAGTAATCATTCTTTGCTGCACCAGCATTTGTTGCGTTCCAGTATGCTCACAGGTTCTTTTCAGGTCACTTTAATACAATGCTGAAATTGTTGTGCGCTTCACTTTCAATTTTGATTTAGAACTGGTTATCCTAATTGCTAGAACAGTTCCGGGTGGAAATCCAATAAAAAGCATTTGTCTGTGCTTGCTCATTATGAAAATTTTACGGATCTCTTTTTACGGCTTTAAAAATATGTCTTGTGAAAAAAATATTACTTATCTTTGACAGATTTGCAGTAGGATTAAACAGTTATATCAGCTGAAATCAAGGTAGAGAGTGTGTTTTGAAAGAAAAATTTAATTAAATGTGGAAGTTTAAAATCAAAAAAGTTTTGAGAATAAGCTTTATTTTATCTGTTGAATACTCGTAAAAAATAAAAAGACAGAACATTAAGGAAAATAAATATTTTATATATTAACTGTCATACCGAGTTAAAAGCGCTTCTTAATTCTAATGTTAAATGAAAACCATTTCAACCCAGATTGTAACCGCAGTAAAAATAAGAGAAAGAAGCGGTTGAACTAAAATTCATTATTTGGTATATCAGCTTGCAAATTAAGCACGCAAAGTTTTTGTCAAATGTGATATTTTAAAAAAAAA